CAGGTGACACTCAGGTGTCCCCACTCACGTTGTCGGGGTCGAACACGAGGGGGTGGGGGCAGCGCTTGGGCCCCGACCAGAACAGCGTCCCCGAGTTCGTTTTCTGTGGGGACAAAAACCACCAGGATTAATTAATTGAGATAATGAGCTAATTAAGGGGAGTTAATGAGTCCAGATAACGAGGTCGTTAATTGGCGTTAATGAGGTAATTAAGGGGGGCCCACCTGTACAGGGGGGAAGGTGTGCAGCACCTGGCAGGGGTTGGGGGAGATGAGGTAATTAATGGGGACAAATGAGGTAATTAATGAGGTTAACTGGGTTAATTGGGGTTAATGAGGTAATTAATTGGTGTTAATGAGCTAATTAAGGCTTGCCCACCTGTCCTGGGGGGAAGTTGTGCAGCAGCTGATGGATATTGGGGTTTATAAATGAGATTGAAGTAAATGAAATAATTGGCATAAATGAACTATTTGAGGCTAACGGGGTTGTTAATTGAGATTAACAGCGTAACTAATTAGTGTTAACGAGTTAATTAAGAGGTGCCCACCTGTCTCTGGGGGGGGAAGTTGTGCAGCAGCTGCCAGGGGCTGGGGTTTATAAATAACATTGGGAATAACAGATTTAAACGAACTATTTGGGGTTAATGGGATCATTAATCGAGGTTAACAGTGTAACTAATTAGCGTTAATTAGTTAATTAGCGCGTGCCCACCTGTCCCGGGGGGGAAGTTGTGCAGCAGCTGGGGATGTTTGGGGTTTATAAAGTTCATAAATGACATTGGGGGTAACAAATATAAACGAGCTATTTGGTATTAACGGATCGTTAACCAAGGCTAACAGTGTAACTAATTAGCGCTAATTAGGTAATTAAGGGGTGCCCACCTGTCCCGGGGGGAAGTTGTGCAGCAGCTGGCGGATGTTGTTGCTGTACTGGCGGTGCCAGTGCCGGCAGGCCCAGGCCACGCAGTCGGGCCAGGCTCGGGGCCGCTCGGTGACGAGGCTGCGCTGCACGGCCTCCAGAACCTCCAGCGGCTGCGTCCCCGCCAGGCGCAGCGTGCGCTCCAGGAACTTGGGGTCCCTGTGGGGGGAGAATTTGGGGTCACAGGGGGGTCACAGGGGGGTCACAGGGGTCCCTATGGGGGAATTTGGGGTCACAGGGGTCCCTAAAAGGTGCAGGGGGTCGGGGGGTCTCAGGGGTCCC